CCAGATCCAACAGCGTCCCATCGAAGGGTGTCACCTGCATGCCATGTCTCCACAGTTCAGTGCTGGTGGTGGGGCTTGCCGTGGTGGTGGAGGCCGCATGGCTTGATACAGCGATCTCAGCGGTTCCCTTGCGCATCGCCTCCTTGACGACCTCCTGCATTGAGGAAACCATCGCTTGAGTCATCATTCGCATCATCTCTTGCGCGCTCATTGGTTCAGCTGGTGCGCTTGTTGCGCTCGACGTGCCCGCAGTGGGCGCCGTCGTATCGACGCCCTGCTCGTTATTGGGCATTGCTTGATTCTGATTCAATTTCCTGGTTCCTACTCTAGTCGTCACCTTAGACATCAATTACTCGACCCTCGAGACTCGTCGCAGTGTTATGATCAGAGATCCTTCCACGAAGATACGAGTAATGGGTTGATGATGAGAGTGATGATAGGGAAACAAGAGACTTCACTTATACAAAGCGACGAGTGAACACACTCCAAATACAGATACACATCAATCCATAACAAGTGCATGTCTACAGGCTGCACTATCCTCCCGCCATTTTTTTCTGGACAAAGTTGCACTGCTTCCACCGCAGGCACTTCCTTCGGCCTCCGAGTTTCTTGATTCGGATGGGCACATGTACATGTCATGCGAGGACCGTGTCAAGGCGGCTGGACAACGCGCTATGATGCAGCTAGACAACGACTTTGAATCCGCACACTCCACACAAAGTTCGGACAGCTCGAACTTGGAAAGCTCGAGGTGCTGTGCAGCAGTACCACTTCTAAAAGCCCCGCCCCACTCCATTCTCTCTGGCTACAAAAAAAAGAAAGCTGGCAATGTCGGAAGGCTCGAAACGCCGTCGGAACACAAGCTCGACCGAATTGAAGAGTCGCCAGACCCGTTATCCAAGACGCCGAGCACTTCCTTCAGCGGACCAAGAGAGTTACGGGTACTGGAAACAATTCTATGAGGGTTGGCGGGTCCGAAGCCGACTTGGAGACCCGGCACAACGTCGATGGCCTAGGCGACTTGAGCGACAATGGTTGCTAGCGTGATGCCCTTTTTCGCGCTTCCACCAGCCAATTACTCAAAAATTCCACTACTGGTGATTCACAATATACTTTCAAGTCAATTATCTAGTGCAAACGTGCCCTTGCTTGCGTTGGAAGCGACAACAAACAAGGCCATTTTGAGCAAAATTCTCGGAGTTGGCGGAGCGACGATCGCCCATCAAGCCACATCTCCGCTCTCGCTTATTGTGATTTTCCTATAATCTATGTTGTTGTTATGTTAAAAGTCAACGGTTTGGGCGAATTACATGACAAGATTGAATGCCAGGTCGATTGAAAGTTATGCTCCGATTGTTCCACAAGTGATGAAACCGAGTGAAATCAAGTCTCGCCAATCCCGTTCGCCTTCGTCCCAAGTGCACAAATATTTCACACAAGTAAATTAGAAGTGGAGCGGGGGTCGAAAAAGCCAACAGGACGGTGCTGTGTCATGGGCAACTGGCGATTGTCGCGGCATTACACAACAAACCCGCCTCCTCGCGATCTGGTCGATTTTCATGCCCTATTTTTGCCATGGATTATTGATATCTATGGTATATTATCATAAAATGGTGGAATGGGGGAGAATAGGCCCCACGGGAATTGGAAAGGCGAGCGGAGGGCTTAACGCAAAAAATAAGGTCATCTCTCGCATCAGAGCAACTTGAACTGGGAAGCACGTCCATTCACTGCCGGTCCATGTCAGGGTTTTGACTCGGTTACACTCAATCTCAACTCTGAGTTCCAAGAGTCGTATCTTCATTTTCAGTTTCTCAGCTTTCCTTTTTTTTTTTTTTTTTTTTTTCCGCTGCCAAAATGTCCTTCATGTCTTCTTCACGTAAAACCGCTTTTTTTTTCTTTTTTTTTTTCTGGTTCTTGTTGTTGTTTTGCCATTGTGTTTTTTTTTTTTTTTTGTTTTTTTTTTTCCCCCTTCCCCCCCCCCCACTTGGTTTTCTCCACACGCGCGCGCCTTCTTCCCGTCGTTCCTCTGTCGAATCACACAAGCGCACTCCTCGACTCACCCTCACGCACTACGGCAGCACACACGTCGCTGATTTCTGCGAAACAAGGCGAAACAAATGCCTTTTTTTTTTTTTGTCTTTGCGGTTCTTTTTTATTATTATTATTTTTTATTATTTATTTTTTCTATTGAATTTCCATTGGAAAACGGCTGAAATTCAAACTGTTTTTTTTTTTTTTTTTTTTTTTTGGAGTTCGTCCTGTTGCGCTCGTTTTCGTTGTTCCCTTTCGTCTTGATTTCAGGCCAGCTTTGGGCACGGACGTCCGTGCATGGCTGCGAAATGAGTGGCCACCCCAATTGCAACTCTCTTTCGAAGCAGAACCTGACACGCCGCGACCAGTCAACGCTACAAAAAACCAAAAAAAAAAAAAAAAAAGCGGATTCTTTTGTATCCAGTGATCATAGCATTAGAGATGGAGAGAGAGAAAGAGAGAGAAGGGGGAGAGGGGGGGTAGTACTCTGTGCTTCGTAGGCTGAGCGCTGGATGGATGGAACAAAGTGAGGTGAAGGCGGACTCGGTTTTGTCTTTGGGGATTTTGAGTTGTTGGAGGAGGAGAGTGGAGTCAGTCCCCAGTCCACCAGTCCCCCAGTCCAACCAGTCCAACCAGTCTCGCAGTCGGTGAATCTTCATGAAGCAGATGGTCAGCATTGCTCAACGATCATCAAAGTCAATCCAATGATCAAATCATCGCAGTGATGTGATTTGACGACTAACTGAACTGACTTGATGGAGTCCGAGGTCCCTTTCTTTTGGTCTTCTTCTTCTTCATCACAATGCTGTCTTGATCTCTTTTTTTTTTTTTTTTTTTTTGCTTCCCCTTCCTCTCCCTTCTTTTGTTTTGTTCTTTATTCCAACACTGGGTTCTTGTTGTCTGAATTCGTATCACTCACTCAAACCCTTCACTTCCCCATTCTGCTGCTTGTCTTTGTATTGAACTCAATCCAATTCAATTCAATTCTGTTCTTTTTTTTTTTTTCTCCCTTCTTCTCTCTCTCTCTCTCTCTCTCTCTCTCTCTCTCTCTCTCTCTCTCTCTCTCTCTCTCTCTCTCTTCTCTCTTCTCTCTGTTCTCTCTCTTCTCTCTCTGTTCTCTCTCTCTCTGTTCACAGCTCCGATGGCACGCCGCGCAACGGGCGACCTGGACACGATGAAGCGCGTGAGGATGGCTGGCGGCACGAGCAGCGACCTCGACCACTCGTCCTCGCCGAACAGCAGTAGCGGCGGCTTTGGCGGGTCGTCGCCGTCGCTGCCCCAGTCGGCCAGCATGAACGACCTCGACCGCACATCTGCATCCACATCCACAGTCACAGTCGACACGGCCAAGATTGAAGAGCTCAAGCGCGAACTCGAGGTCGAGGAGAAGGTCAAGGTCGGCGCCGAAAAGCTCCTCCGCGCATACGAAGCAGACTCAAAGACGAGCAAGAAGAAGCGCGGCGAGGCGCAGCTGAGGTACCGCGAGGCGTCCAACAGGGTGGACTACCTGCAGATGGAAATCTTGCGATACCAGTCGCCGAAATCCAGCAGGCTCGGGCAGGAAAAGATGCCGCTCGAAGACAAGATTGCCGACCTCGAACGCCGCATTGGCATTGAGCAGCTCTTGCTCACAGGTGTCAGTAAGATGATGGAGGTGTACGACACGAGCGCGCCTGCCGCTTCTACCCCTGCTGGCACCGCCGCTGCCAACAACAACAACAACAGCAGCAGCAATAATGGAAGCACAGTCTGGTATGCAGGCAGCGCAACCGCAACTGGCAGTAACAGTGCATCCGCCTCCGCCACCCCTTCCCCTTCAACACCCTCTGGCGGCAGCGGCAGCAGCAGTAGCAGTAGCAGTGGTGGTGCCGGCGCGAGCTCCAGCACTTGGTCGAACTCGGGAACCTCGTCAGTCGTCATGTCGCGCCAGGAAGTGCAAGCCAAATTGAACGAGTCCACCCAAAAGATTGAGCTCTTCCGCACCGCACTCGCGCGCTACAAGACCCTGTATAGCGCCTCCAATGCGGGCTCAAACCCCAACCTCAACATGTCGATTGGTCCGAGCAGCGGCGCCGCACTGGCAGCCATGCTCGCCTCGTCGTCAGCGCCCATCTTGCCACCACAAGCCACCCATGCGCACATTCGTTCCGTCTCGGAGGACGACGCTGGCGGCCTGTCGACGTCCCTGGCGCACCCGCCAGCGGCATCATCCTCCCTGGTTGCGCTGGCTTCCCCTGGCTCCCCAGTTGCCTCGCCCGCCCCAAACCGACGAAGAATTGGCTCGGATGCCCAGCTGCTCTCGACCTCGGCAACCCATGCAGCAGGCGTGGGCGCTGCCGTCGCTGCCGCATCGCGCCATGCACTCAAAGCCCTCACTGGCCGATTGCAAATTCGCGTCATTTCCGCGGCAGACCTCATCGAGGCCGAGCGCGCCACCAAGTCAGACCAGCACATTGTCATCCGCATCGACAATGAAATCAAGGCTCGAACCAAGGCCAAGAAGGGCTCGCGCCCCGTCTGGAATGAGGACTTTGGCATTCGCATCACCAAGGCCAAGGAGCTCGAGGTGAACTGCTACGTCGGTGGCGACACTGGCACGCTCTGCGGGTTTTTGGTCATCAAGCTCGAGACAATACTGGACAACGAGGTGCACGACGCCTGGTTGGACTTTGAGCCGCGAGGCAAGCTACACATCCAAGTCGTCTTCCGCGCCCCGTCGCTGCACGAGAAGGAGGTCAAGGCCCAGATCCAGCGTCGCAAAGCCGTCACGGTTCGCAAGAGCTATGACGGCAACGGCCACAAGTTTGTCTCGACTGTCTTTTACTCGATCAGCAAGTGCGCGCATTGCTCGGAAGGTCTGCTGGGTGCTGGCCGCCGCGGGTATCAGTGTGAGCTCTGTGGGTTTACCTGCCACAAGCACTGCTATTCGCAAGTCGTCACGCCTTGCACGCCCTTCAAAAAGCCCGTCTCGCCCGGAACGCGCCGTCGCAGAAAGAGCTTTGGTCAGGATCGCAAGAGCGCTCCGATGGCGGTGCAGGCTGCACTCAACGCTGCCGACCAGGTGTCGACACCCACGTCTTCCTCGAGCGGTCTTCCTGCACTCGGCGACAAGAACGCGGCCTCTGGCTCTAGCTCGAGCACGCCAAACACCTCTGCCGGGTCTACGCCCTCCACATCGGCGGCTGCCAGCCCTGCAAACACGCCCAGCCCCGAATCTGGGCGGCTCAGCTTTACAGAGACAAACCGAAGGTCGGGGTCGATGACAGAGAAGGAAATGACACGAATGAACAGCCGAATTGGACACACATCCCGCACATGTTCAAGGTGTTTTTCGCCTTCAAACCCGGCTTTTGCTGCCATTGCGGCTCGCTCGTTGTCGGCATTCGTCGGCAAGGACTCAAGTGCGAGGACTGCGGTTTGGTGTGCCACAAGCGCTGCGAAAAGTACGTGCCAGACTTTTGCGGCATGTCGATGGAGTTGGCTCTGTCACTCGCCGAGTTTGAGCGCACCCTCGCTGCCCAGGCCAACGTGTCGCATCTGGCCGAGGTCAACCAGCAGCATGCGCGCGAAATGGCCGAGATGGAAGCCGAGCGCTCGCGCAAGGCCACGCAGCAAGCCGCGGCCCAACAAGCCGCCACCCAAGCTGCCCAGGCCGCAGAAGCAGCGGCCGAGGCACATGCCGCCACGGTCGCTGCGGCCAAGGCTGCAGCACAAGCGGCCGCCGACGCCGAGCAAGCTGCCAAGCGTCTGCTCCAAGAACAAGAGGAGCGCGCGCAACAACAACGCGCGATTGCAGCCCAGCAAGCCCTGTTGGACCAGCAGCCCCCACTCATCGCCACAGTACACTCGGCCAAGATGGTCCACGTCGACACTCACAGCTCGTCGGCTGCGGCGGCGCTGGTTGCCTCCCTCGCTCCCTCCACGCAAGAGTCCAACCGGCCTCGCTCGGTCGTCACGTTCGAGGAAACAAAGTCCAACAGCTTCAACAAGGCTCTTTCGCCCGCTACCGCTGCTGGCGACCTCCCGCCAAACGTGACTCCCAAGCCAGCCACCAAGCGCTCGTCCTTCACCCCCGTAGATTTCCATCAGCAGTCCGCACAGGCCAAGGCCGCGTCGGCAGCGACTCATCTTAGTGTTGATGACTTTGAAATGTTGTCTGTTCTTGGCAAGGGACATTTTGGCAAGGTAGGTTTCTTGGCTGTTGTGGCAGAGTTTAAAAGAAATTCAATCGTGGTTGTGCCTGACGGTGTGTGTGTCTTTCTTCAGGTCATGCTCGCTGAAAACCGCAAAACAAAGGACGTTGTGGCCATCAAGGCACTGAAAAAGTGTGACGTGCTTGCCCGCGATGAGGTGGAGAGCATTGCGACAGAAAAGAACATTTTCATGCTTGTTTCCCGCGCCAAGCATCCATTCCTGGTGAATCTCTATGGCTGCTTCCAAACACCAGAGTACTTGTGCTTTGTGATGGAGTTTGCCACCGGCGGTGACCTCATGATGCACATTCACGAGGAGATTTTCGACGAGGAGCGCGCGCGATACTATGCCTCTGAGGTGATTCTGGGTCTTGAGTATTTGCACGACCACGGTGTCATTTACCGGTGAGTTTGCAAGTTCATTGGAGTGCTCCTTTGCTTTGTACACGTGTCTCACCGTTTTTTGTGTATTCTTCTTTCCTATAACAACGCAATTACCAGTGATCTCAAGCTCGACAACTTGCTACTCGACAAGGACGGTCATGTCAAGATTGCTGATTTTGGTCTGTGCAAGGAGAACATGTTCCACGGCACACGAACGAGCACCTTCTGCGGCACTCCCGAATTTATCGCTCCCGAGGTGTGTATTGACGAAAGTCCGCTTTTTTTTTTGTGTGTGTGTGTGTGTGTGTGCGTCTTGGTTGACGTGGGTGTACTCACCACTCGCTCGTTGCTCGTGACAGGTTTTGCAAGATAACGACTACACTCGAGCAGTCGACTGGTGGGCTCTTGGCGTCCTGATGTTTGAAATGATGGTTGGCGAGTCGCCCTTCCCTGGCGATGACGAAGAGGAAATCTTTGATGCCATTCTCAACGACGAGGTCACCTATCCGTACTGGCTCTCGATTGATGCGACGTCGGTGATTCGCCGTGTAAGGACTGAAGTAGTTGTCGGGAGTTTTGTGACGAGTGTGGTGGAGGTGATTTTTGGCTCAATGATTGACTCTTTTTTTTTTCAATTGTCAAATCAGCTGTTGGTCAAGGACCCCGAAAAACGCCTTGGAGGCTCGCGTAACGATGCCAAGGATGTGAAATTGCACACATTCTTCAAGGATGTCAAGTGGGACAAGCTGCTCGCCAAGGAGATTCCCCCGCCTTTCCGTCCTCGTATTGTGCGTGACAGCGTGGTTGCACTATTATGCTGTCGATTGTTGGCTTGAGCGAGATCATCTGACTTGTTTTTTTGTTTTTTGTTTCTGCAGAAATCCCCCAAGGACACGAGCAACTTTGACAAGGAGTTTACTTCAGAAATCCCCCGGTTGTCCCCAATCGAGGGCCGCACGCTTGATCAGTGGGATCAGGCCGAGTTTACCAACTTTTCCTACACTGCTCCTTCCGTGGTTGATCCCAGGCATCCTTCGTCGACGATCGTCTAAGTCGAAAGGCTGGCCAACTGTTACGGCTACCAGCAACATTTCGAATGGTCGTAGCCAAGCTGCTGATGTTTCATTTGCGTTTTTCCTTCTTTTGTTTTCATGACTTTGTACACAATACTCTGTTGCGGCGGTGCTCCTGTGTGAAGTTCTGTCTTTTGTTGCTTTCTTGCTCTTCGTTTCGCTTCGTCTTTGTGTCTTTCTTGTTTGTTTGTTTCGACTCCTTTCTTTTTCGTACTTTCAACTGTGTGTGTGCTGAGATGTTTCGGGTTTCTTTTTTCTGCTTTGACTTGGAACAAGACAAAAAAAATGCATTAACCTTCATTTTTCGTGTGTATTTTTCTTGTCTATCGTTGTGCGCTTGCAGCCATCGTCATGTTGCTGATGAAACCTTCTCATCACCCTGCTGGTCGAGTCGTGATCGCTTGTTGGAGCCGTGCTTTGCAGCGTTTGCCAACTTGTCGCTTTCCTCGTCGCTCGATACGTTTTCGTCTGTGCAAACATTGAACAAAAGTCCAGAGATGAGCGCCGATTGTTTTGTCTCTCCATCGTATCAACCCTACATATACTCAAACCTTCTCGTGCAGTGCTTGAATCGTCCTCTGCGCGTCGCTTGGTCGGGGTTGCTTGTGCTGGAGCAGAATCCGTGGCAGTAACAGTGGTAGCAGCAGTCGCAGTCGCAGCAGCAGCAGCAGGCTTCCCGTCGTTCGCCTTGAATGCATCCATGTGCTGGTTGATCAGATCGTTGAGCTGCGACTGAGCGCGCCCCACAGTGTCGGCAAGCGAGCGCAGCGCTTCGACCGCGGGATTGACTGGGAGTTGCTGCTGTCCGTCGTCCACCTCCATTGCCGATGACGATGATGATGATGATGATGAGCTGTCTGTTGTGCAATTGCCAGCACTAGCATGACTGCTGGTCGTCGTCGGCGGTGCGGTCGCAGCAGACGGCAACTGGTGCTTTTGGTGCTCTGGCAGATCAAGCACGGTGCTGCTCAGGTCCAAGCTGAATCCCCTTGCTGTCGTCGTCGTCGATCCACTTGGTGCTGCATTGCACGCGATGGGCACATTCAGCACGCTGGGATTGGCAATGCTTGGGCTGCTCAGCGTGAACTGGATTGCCAAGTCCATCGCAGAAGAACAGAAGAACAGAAGGGAATGACGACTGGCTGCACCAAAGGACTCGTTTTTTTGTATGAGAGCTATGACGAGCTATTGGATTTGGCGGCGGGGCAAGCCTGAGCGTGGGTACAAAGCGAACAGCAGCACTCTTTTCGCTCTCTTTTGCTTTTCCAGCTGCTTGTCCTGCTCTTCTCTCCCTCCCTCCCTCGCCCTCCTCCAGCTCACCCCCCATGCAATGTCTGCCCTCTGCTGGCTCCGTCCTGCGCCGGCAAGACTGAGCCGTGACACACAGAACGAACTAGGAGCGCATTTCGCTCGTCCTCTGGCTTTTCCATCGCTTCTCCGCCTCACTGTGCGGTGACGGGCTGCTCCGTCTCTGCTCCATGCTCCACCGACGCCCACGCGCTTTCCCTTTTCACCCAGTTGCCGCGTGTGCAAGGCAGGTTGCACGGCGTGCAAAGACGTTGCCGCTTTTGGGTTGCTTTGGCGCCAAATTTTGCGAGGTTGCAAGCAAACTGTGACGTTGACATTGGTTTTTAAGGCAATCGTTGGTTTGGCATCAACGCTCCTCAGTCTTGCTTTTCGCTCTTCGCTCTCTTCTCAACCCCCTTCACAAGCACTACTTGGACACATCACTAACAAACACCACAACCCAATAATCAAATCAACCATGAGCTCTGCCATCACAATCACCGCTGTCGCCGCGCCCACTTCCACCAACACTGCCGCCAACACTGCCCCCTTCTGCGCGACTTGCCGTGGCCCTTGCCGATTCAACACTCGGTTCAACGCCACTACCACCTTCCCATCGACGATCTGGCCTGGCGCAGTTGCTGCCACTGCCACTGCCACCCCTGCTGCTGCCGCGAATGTTACCACCGGTGCACCGATTGCAACCACTCCTGCCAAGGTTACCAAGGCCAAGGCTCGCCGCCCCGTTCAAGCTGTCGAGCGCACCATCATGACCCGTGCCTTCTCCCGCAAGCAGCAGATCGCCATGAAGCAGCAGCTCCAGCAGCCGCAACGAGCAGCAGTTGCAGTTGCCGCTGCTCCTTCGAGCCCCTCTGCAATGCGCCGCACGCACACCATGCAAAACACGATTGCAGACTCGCTCGCTGTGCTGGCTGCCCATCCTGAGCTCGCCATGGCCATCGCTGCGCTGGCCCGCAACAGCAACAGCAACAGCAAGGCTGGACGCCGCTCGCAGCCTGCCGACACTCTTGCCAGCCCAAGCCGAACACTTCGCTCGTCCGCCAAGTTTGGTCGCCAACTGCGTCCTCGCGTGCTGGCTGTCTCCGCATGAACCAAAAAAACCAAAAGATTGTGTGTAGCTATGTTAAATGTTAGATAGATGGATTCAGAACCTGCTTTGCTTGCGTGTTGTTTCATAACGATTAAACAAAATGAAAAAATGAAAAAAGTTGTAATGTTTTTCATCAATCTGAGTTTCAAAATCAAGTCGGTTGGTTTGTTTCAAAAAAATCACAAAATCACAAAGGTCTAGGTCTGACTACTCGCCGAGCTCGCTGCGACACATGTCCTCATCCGTCTGGTACAGATTGCGACGAAGCATCTCGAGCATGTCAGGATGGACACCGCGTTGCGCGAAACGGTCCCAGATCGTACGGCCGCGTGCATCCCGCGCAGTAAACGTGTGTACGAGAATGTTCTCGTCGGGATCCAGCTCGGCGTCGTGACCCGCGTTCGTACTGGCCTCGCCACCAGGAGCAGCAGCAGCAGCAGCATCCGAACCGGTCGCAACGACCGAGCCACTTGCAGCTGCTGCTCCCTCGTGCGCCTCGCTTGTCGCTGTGATGCCGGCCGCAGCCATGGCTTTCTCGTGCACGAAAATGAGCCGGGCACGCTCGTAGGCGTCGGCAAGCAGGCGCCAGAGCCGCAGATCGCCGGGAACAGACTCGGGCTGGCGCAGGTACATGAGCGGCGTGCGGCCGTGGCGGTCGCACACATCCACGCGCGCGTCAAACATGAGCAGGGCAAAGGCTGCGCGGTAGTTGCGCAGACGCACGGCAATGTGCAGGGGAGTGCGGCCGCGCGCGTCGTGGCGGCTCAACTCGTCTCGCAGGCGATCGGGCGGAAGCACGGGGGCAAGCTGCTCAATCAGCCGCGCGTGGTCAAAGTACGCCGCAATGTGCACGAGCGTAAAGCCGGCCATGTCGCCTTCCAGCAGCGGTGGGGTGCCAGAAAAGCGGTTGCGGTAGGCAGCCAAGAACGCCGGGAACATTCCCTTTGGTCGCGACGGTGCGTGCGGCTCGGGCTGCCAATGCTCGGCCGCGGACAGCGTGAACTGGGGCTGGGTCTGCTGCACGTACGTCCTGACGAGACGGGGCGCGTGCATGGGTGGATTGCGATCTTGCGCAATCATCAGCATGGCAAACAGCATGCGTGCCCACGAGCCGCCATCGTGCGAAGCGTCCAAGCACAGGCCAATCGCGGCAACGTGCAACGGCGTCTGTCCAAACTCATTGTAGGTTCGGCTCATGCGGTCGAACGCCCGGGTATGCTGCACAATCAGATACTCAAACGAGCGCTGTGCGCCTGCGCGCACCGCCACGTGCAGGGGCGTCTCTCCGATCGCTGTCGTCAGGTCGTGATTGGCGAGCAGCCACAAGAACGCCTCGCCGTGCGGACGGCTAATGGCCTCGGGAATGAAAGCAGTGGCATGAGGCGGGCTTGGAGGCGCGTTGGTTTGGGCCGTGTCTGCTTCTTCCGAGCGGTGTCGCACGTGCGCAGTTGCACCTAGTTCAGACGGGTTGGTGGTGGCGGGATCAGAGGACTGGTTCTCGTGAGTGGATTGAGGAGGAGCAGCGGTTGAGGCAGGTGCTCGGCACGACAGCCAAATGGAGGAGACTGCTTCTGTCGTGGCTGATGGCTGATGATGCGCTCCAAACCATGAGGCAGAAGTGTCGACGGCTGGAATGGGGCCGGACGGCTCCAACGACAGGCCAGAGTGCAGCAGCAACTCGATGGTACGCACAGCATTGCGCTGAATCGCCACAGTGAGCGCAAGCCGCTCCAGGGGCGCGCCAGCTTCGAGCAGCGGTTGAAGCATGAAAATCCGGCCCATGAGGATGGCAGCCACCAGAGGCGACGGGGCCACCATGCCAATCACAGGCAGCATGAGCAACGAGCAGAGCTGAGCGCCAAAGCCGCGATCGTGCTGGAACACGTCGTCGCAAATGTGCAAGTACGGCATCAGCGACACCCGTCCGCGCAAGCGTGGCACGGCCGTCGGTGCGCCTTGCAGCGCAGCGAGCACGAAGGGCGTCCAGCCACGTTGGCTGCGGAAGAAAAACCGACCGGCCAGCGCCAGCTCGCTCGCGTCCTGCAGAGCGCGTGCCAAGACATGTTTGCCACGCACCGCCGCGTCGAGCACAGCTGCAACAGCTTCAGCATCGCGCGAGCAGTCAAACGGGCAGCAATCCGTGTACTCGAGACACTCGCGACGAACGCGGCGAGTCCGTGCGCACGTCCCACCGGGCGCCGTGTCTGCGAGCAGCTCGACAATGCGGTTGTGTCGCCGCTTTTCAGCATCCGTCCACTCCTGCAAATCGAGAAACTCGGCGTACTCGGTCCACGTGCAGACCTCGCGTGGGAGGTGGTGGACGATGGATCGCAGCGCTTCGAATTGGGGATCGGCAGGCTCATCGAGGGTGTCTGCGGCATTACTGGTGGCAGGAGGAGCTTGAGCGGTCACACTCGCGTACGTAGGAGTTGATGTAGGCGAAGAGGTGGCAGCTTCATCGACAGCTGTTGAGGTGGTGGTGGACGTCGTCGTCGTCGTCGTGATGCTGCTGATGCTGCTGCTGCTGCTGCTGTCACTGCTGGTCTCGGGTGGGTAAGACGTGGACAAGTCATACGGGCGGTTGAGCGATGGGGGACCGGTGACAATCGCGGTAAAGTCGCGCAAATGCTGCTGGTCGGCGAGATGGTTGATCATGTGGATGTGCGTTGCGTTGGCTGGCAAATTGAAAAAGTTTTGGGCGAGCATGATGGTCAAGCCGTGACGGAAGAGGGGTCCTGGATTGTGCTTGGACGCTCGCAGCGTTGCTAGATTCATCGTTGGCTTGCCAGAGTCGCGTATTGGGACGCGCCAATCGCGCGAGGGTCGCTTCTTGCCCCGGCCTGCTGCTCCACCTGGGGTTGGTCGCAGCGGCGATTGCTCGTGCATGCTACTTCCGTTGGCAAAGTGCTCGTGCATCGCTGAGTGACTGAGCGCAGCAGCAGTAGTGGTGGCTGCGACTGGTTTAGCGGCATCGGCGGTTGCAGCAGCAGCAGCAGCGTGAGAATGGTGGTGATTGCCTGGTTGGTCGCCAGCTATTAGCGCGATGAGACTGGCATCTCCATTGAGACCGCCTGCAGAGTGGTCCAGCCGTGGTGCTGTGGCCGAGATCTGCCCACCTGAAACCGCATGAGGAAGGACGCCCGGGTACATTGGCGGCAGCGCTGCTCCAGCTCCAGCTCCAGTCCCAGCCAGCTGCCTGCGCGGGACGAACAGCCTTGGCCACGCAGCCGAGAAGCGCGTGAGCTTGGCATCGTCGTCCGAGTCGTCCGACGAGTCTGACGAGTAGAGCCGCTCGCCCTCGCTGTCGTCCTCCTGCTGCTGCTGGATGACTGCCTCGCTCTTCCTGTCCGCGCCCAGTCCGTCGCCGGCGTCCCCCGCGTACGACGACGACGACGACGACGACGACGACACGGCAGCGACCCGCGCAAGGTCCTCGGGGGTCTCGTCGGGCTCGAGCAGCGCGCTGTAGCACTGCGGCGGCCGCAGGAACAGGAAGCAGTCGTTCTCGTCTTCGCTGCTGTCGCTCAGCGTCTCGTCAATGCGATCATCATCATCATCATCATCATCATCATCATCATCGTGATCATCATCTTCATCTTCATCGTCTTCATCATCGTCATCGGGATGGTCGGCTTCATCTAGGCGCCGCCGCCGTCGCCGCCCACTGCTGCTGCTGCTCCTCCTCGCCATGTGCGATGCGCTCGGTGCGCTGCCGTCCGCCGCAGAGGACGCCGTTGCCGCGTTCGCCCCTTCGCCCGTGCTCACGACGGCGGAATCAACCACCAGCGCGCGCGGTGTCGCTGCAGAGTGGGGTGCAGGTGGTGCTGGCGGGGGAGGCGCAGTCCAGCGGGGCCGCCGGTACGTCCACATGCGAGGCTTGGTCAGCCTACTGTGCCGCGGCGCCATTGGAAAAATCCGAGCTCTCCTTTGAAAGTAACAAGTAGGTGATGGAAGGTGTGTATGTGTGTTTGGGGACTGAAAAGCACGGTGCTGTGAGTGTTGGACTTGGTTGTAATGTGCTTTTGAATGAACAAAAAAAAAAAAAAAAAAAAAAGGAAACTGAGATTGAATCCAAGTATGGCTTTGTGGCTTGGAGTGGGAGAGGGGGGAAAATTGATTGTTCAAAGAGATGAGGGGTGGGCAAATGATGGGTGGATGGATTTTCATTGCTGGATTTGACTGGTGGGACCATTGCAAAAGTCGGATCCAATACTCAAGTTCACCCCTACTTCTCCATCTCCATGTAGAGAGGGGATTCCTAAAAAGACTCAGTCCAAAAACCATTGCGCCCCCACCCTAAAAAGACTCAAACCCGATTATCTCGGCTTGTATTCCTCCCACCCCGCCGCCGTCTTCGAATATCAATGAACACTCATTCCAGCTACAAGGAAGACATGGTCAGACGGGCGCAGGAGCAACTTGAGGTCGGCCTCGCCCAGATTGCGACCGCGTCTCCCTTCCGCCAGAGGCTCCTGACGAAGGCCACCGCCCTCAAACTATACTATTTTGACCCGTTCCTATCCACTACGGATGTCGGCGGAGCTCCGGGAGCCTCCGCCGAGCGAATCTGGACGACCCGCCAAATCGCCCATGCGCTGGGTCGATCGCAGTCCATGATCGCCCGCTGCATCAAGGCCCACGCCAACCTCGCTTCTGACATTCCTGGAATGACCTTAGATGAGTTGGCTGACGTTCTGCGCGAGGATCCCATCCAGGGACAAGGCTACGTGTTCACCGTCCCCGAGGAGCAAGAGCTCGTCGAGTTTGTCAAGCGGTGCTGCTTAGGAGCTGTCTCTCTGAGCAAAACGGAATTCACTCGATATGTGCTTGCAGCCTCGAAGGTGCCGAGGCCGGACGGCGTGGAAAGACGTCAATTTGAGCACGACAAAGTTTCCGACAAGTGGGTCAATGATTTTGTCGCCCGTCACAGCTCACAGATTGGCTGGCGCAGTAGCAGCGTGTTGGAAACACTTCGAGTGGCTGCTTTGAGTGAAAAGAAGCTCGGCAGTTTGTTCGCGCTACTGGCGGAGTACAGCAATCTTTACCCGACTCTTTTCGCTACGCCGGCCAATATTTTCAACATGGACGAGTCGGATTGCTCTGTGGGTCGTAAAAAGAAGCGTGCCCTGGCTGCTGTTGGTGTCAAGCGTGTCAGTCCGTGATCTGGCCGAACCATTACGATGGGACCGCATGTTACTGGTCTGTTTACTGTTTGTGCTGATGGCACCGCTCCTGTTGCGCCCCACTTCATTGTCGCGCATCCACGGCCCACTCTACCTCACAGGTGCACCGAGGGCCTGGACGAGGAGTTGATTCACCAGTCCGAGTCCGGCTTCATCAACGAGGAAATCTTCGACAAGTGGTTTCGAGATTTCGTCGAGGTCGTCAAGGAGCGAGCTACCACCACCCCCGTTCTATTGGTGATGGATGGCAGCTCGTGTCACAAGTTCACTGTCGGGTTGATTGACCTCGCGGTGAGCAACAACATCCTGGTTGCGATCCTTCCATCGCACACGTCGACTCACTTGCAGCCGCTCGACGTCACCGTCTTTGCCTGGTACAAGAACTTGCTCGAGACTCACGTGCAGTCGATTTTGGATGAAGACTCGCCACTCATCGACGTGAACATCAAGCTTCACGGGGCCATTCGGGCGTGGAACGAAATTGACGACCGATCCAACTTGATCCGATCTGGGTTTCGCCAAACTGGTATCTATCCGCTGGACACGGAAAAGCACAAGACCCTAGCGTTGCCTTCCGTCGCTGACGTTGCCGTGTCTACGACCCCCCTCGCTGCACATTCCCGAGCCACCCCCGACCCCGGATGCTCGGTATTCGGCGTTGTACCGTGTCCGTCAGATTGCCGATGCCGCCCTGGTAACCATTGGTTGCACTCCGAGAGCTCTACAGCAAAAGAGGGTGCACGATGCAGCGGTAGCTGATTTGCGTCGAAATCTCGAGGTCGAACTTTCGGTGCAAGAAGTCCTTCGGGCCCCACCCAGGCCCCTGCGGTCCAGGAGCATTGGCAACAGCTCCATGCGCGTTTCTATGAACTCGACCGCTCGATCCCCGCTTACGCCGGAGAATAGGGATGCCCAGCTTAAGCGGCAGGAGTTGCAAGAGAAGAGGAAGCAGCTCGAACCTCTGAAAGAAGAGTACAATCGGCAACGGCCCATCTTCCTCCGCACGCTAAAAGACCTTGACTCACGCATCTTGACACTTGCGGAGACAATTCTTGCTCTGGAGACTCAGCTGGCTGCTCTGGGAGAAGAGGTCGAGCAGGACATCGAATCGGCAACTGCCGCGGAGACCCGAAACAAGCTAGCTGCTGCTCGCCTGCAGCATACCAAGCTCGTACGTGACCGCGCGACATTTTTCAAGAACCGTCTCAAGCGACCCACTCTTCTAAGTCTTGAGCCAGCGGCGACCGCTTCCACACCTCTCGTTCCTCGGCGCGTCAGCAGGCCTAGGCCCATTCTCGCTTCGCAATCGATGGCGAACGACACTGTCGACTTGGATCAATCAGCCAGCGAGGAGGAAAGCGAGTCTGACGACGATGACGACGAGAATCAAGCGTCGTCCGAAATGGCTTCCGCTGCCATCGGCCACAACGACAACCAGGAGGACCCCAGCGATGTCCAGCGTCAACCTCAAGCCGCCCGCAAGCGTCGCCAGGAAGATGACGATGAAAACGTCGCGCCCGTCTTCACCACGGTCACATCAGACTCGAGCGATGTTGTTCAAGTCGATTATCAGCTGAGCTCCACCGAACTCCAAGAAATCCGACGCTATCGCATGCCAACGCGTAGTACTACGAAGCAAGATGGACATAATGTCAAATTGGCGCGTGTAGACCTCCAACCTGCGTCGTCAAGGCCGGCGCTCAGCGACCTGACAAACCTTTCTCGAAGCAACACGCTACCACTGTAATTTTCCGTGTTTTGTGTTCAATTCTATGTGCATCCCATGTCATTCAATGTAGTTATGTGTTTTTTCCGGTCAAAAAGGGTGAAATCATGTCTAGGCAGGGGAAGATTGGACCATGCCCGTCCGGCGCGGGCGGTCTGGCACCTGCCGGGTTCTGTGGTCACATACAGTAACCGTCGCACCAACTGCAATACATAGATACCAGTTGGTATTACATGTCCCAGTTGAAGATGGGCCGACAGATCCTCGACACGGGCGACACGGGACTGGCAAAGTCAGTTTCTCCCTAAAAAGACTCAGCCCTAATGCACGCCCAGCCAAATCGAAGCGAAAATTTTCCCCTCCGATTCGCACCAAAATTACCAAATCAACTATATAATTTATGCTCTTTCCAATGATATAGGTGGCAGGGCGAAGAAATGAACAGGGGGGACTGAGTCTTTTTAGGGAGGCCCTCTCTACATTTCGATTGCTTGAGTGTTCTCGTTGGCATTGTACAGTACCCCCAGCTGCCATCTCTCTCTCTCTCTCTCCATCTCTCCATCTCGCTTTCTCTCTCCAACTCTCATTCTCTCAGTCAATCTCAAGTCTTCTTTTCTCAGTCTTTCTTTCTTTTACTTCCTTTTTCGGTTTTTTCTTCATTCAATTCAATTCACTTTTTTTTTTCTTTTATTTTTCCCGTTTTCACAATCACGTTTGTCAGTCTGAGCCGACGAATTAGCCGCCTATTCCCCGTTGGCGGTTTGATTTCCACTCCCACGCCACCGCATCCAGTCCCGTTCCAGGCCACTGCTGCTGCTGCTGCCCACTCGCTCGTCATGCCAGGCACCCGACAGCAGCACCAGCACGCGCCACTCGCGCAGGACGAGCAGCAGGAGGTCCAACTCAACAACGCCGCCGCTTCTGCTGCTGCGGTCACTCCACCGCTCCGCTTCCGCCTGCCCATCGCCCCGCGCACACGACCAACGGCGACAGTGAGCACTGCGACTGCGCTGCAGGCTGCGCTCGAAGGCCGTCCGCTGACCCACGGCACGGCGTTCCACGACCCGCACGCGCTCGACTACTACGAGCTCGGCCACAAGGGCTACTCGTACAACCTGTGGCTCTTCCGTCCGAGTCCGAGTCCCACTGTCGCTGGTACTGTCAAGCACACTGATGCGAATCCGACTGCTGGAAGTGCGTCCGAGACCTCCCGCGAGCCGGGATTGCTGAACAAGACCTCCTCGTCCGAGTCCTCATCGCTGCTCAAACAACGGCTGCAGGACGCTACGACCATCCATGCAGAGACCTGGATTGACCTGAGCAATCTCACAGCCAACCAGTCGCTTGCTGTCTTCTCGCGGCGCACAATGAGCTGGGACGGTCGCGTGCATCCCGGCGCAATTGGCTCGATTGTCGACGACTGCTTTGGCTTGCTCTGCTTTTACAACGATTGCGGCGGTGCAACGCTCAATCTCACCCTGGAGCATTTGGTGCCAGTGCCGTGCGACGCCGTCATGCGCATCCGTCCCCGGTTGGCCAAGCGCGAGGGTCGCAAAGTGTTCATTGAAGCCGACGTGACGGACGAGACCACCGGACTGCTGCACTCGCGGGCCAAGGCGCTCTTCTACTCCATGTTCTCCCGCGACCCGACACAAATCAGGAACGAGCCAGCTTCATCACAGCCGCTCAGCACAGAGGTCGATGGCGCGTCGGATTCTGCAGGCGAGCTTGTGCCGGCGGAAGGTCGCCTGCCCTTCCCTGGGCTCACCGAGGTCGTCGCCTTCGACGCGCCCCGCCCCGCGTGGGTTGAAACCCTCCAGAACTCGCTTCGGGAGCAGCACCTTGTCGACGTCACCGACTTTCTCTATTTGCTCGTCGCGAAAATGGGCATTTCGCACAACGTGCTCTCCTCGCCCAAAATTCGCTCGCGGTACTACCTCGATTGCTCCCCGTCGAGCACCAACCCGGCCAGTGCCATTCAATCCCTGGTGGCAGTTTTCGAGTACACGTCCATGGCCGAGGGTCCTGCGATGGCCGTCCACGGCGGCGCAACGCACACCACTTGTGCCGAGATTGCTGAAGTGTTGGGGCTGTTTTCAAGCATGTCCGTGTCGGAAGCTCAGCTGTGGATGGCATCGCCTGCCACTGTCGATGCGTTGGTCGCAAAGTATCTCGCAGCACGCCCAAAGGTCCGGGTCACCGCTGTTTCCACCAACTACAAGGTCTTCATGCCTCTGTTAAACTTTTTCCGATGGTCGGCAAAGGTAACATCGCGTCCGGCCCCCTCCCAGCTTGAACTCGAACTCCAATGCGTCAATCCCGAGACGGATGTTTTGCATGCCACGGCCACATGTACCGTCGTGTCCGAAGGAGCCTCGCCAGTCTTGTCACGTTTGTAAATCGTAGATGTGTGTACAACACCCAAACATTTGCTTTTGTCTTGTTCTCATCTGAGATCACAACTCTGGTCCAAACAATGAATTCTACAAGAGATGAACATTTGCTCTGCTCGACCTAAACAAAAAAAGGGCTGTTGGTATGGGGTATATTGAACAAAAAACGGTCGAAAAGATTCAATTCAATTCAAATCAAAAAAAGGGGGGAGAGGGATAGAGTAGGCGAGCAAAGTGCAATCCTCAATACAACGCCACTCGTCCAGTTTCACTGAAAGTCGTCCAACGAGAAGCTGGCATGCTCAGCCTCGCGCTCAAGACGGCTTCGCGTCATCTCGTCATTCATCTGAACGAAGAAGAAGAAGAAAAGAAAATCATGGTTGATAGTTTCAGATGAGCCAACGTCATTCGTTTCCAACATGATAACAAAAAAACCAAGGCATTGTCGAACGGAGCCTTACCGCCTCGCGTGCGCGCCGTTCTGCCTCGCGCTGACGATCGAGCTCGTCTTGTCCACGACGCAGATTGGCCTCATGCTCTTCAGCAAGCTGGCGCTCATGTTCCTCTTGTTCACTACACAAAGCAGTTTGAGTTCAGACGGGTGAGTGTGAGCGCAACACACCTTCTATTTTGTGTTTGTTTTTTTCTTCTTTTTTTTTTTGTTTTCCTTCTCCGCCAAACACCAACAACGCCAACAATCGCTCCAGCATTCGTACCGTTGCTTGCGCTCGAGCTCACGACGGCGCTCGGCCTCGCGCTCTTGTTCGCGTTGGAGCTGCTCTTGCTGCAGCTTCATCTCTTGCTCGCGAAGCATTCGTTCGCGCTCGGACTTTTGGAGGGCGCGTTGTTTGAACTGCTCAAACTCTGACGAGCTGGCGGCCATGGAATCTGCGCCAACATCGCTCGAGTCGAGGTCGGCAAGGTTGGACCAGGCGCCCTCGTTGTGCAGCTCTAAATCCTGCTCCTTCCACCCGGACTCAAGAAGCATGGGAATTGCCTTTGTGTCGTTCAACCCTTGCAGTGGGATGTTGGGATGCAGGCCAGTCGCGGACAAGTCCACGGAAAAGTCGATACGGTCGGCGGCCGCGGCGGACACGGGGTTGCCGGTGGTGTGCGAGCCCATGCCCAAAGCGGGTGTTCCGGTGGTGTCCAGGTCCGACACAAACGACGAGACGTCGACATGTGGAGATGCGGCGCGTGCAGCAACCTAAGGAGAGAGAGAAAGTGCAAAAAAAAAAAAACAAGGCGCAGAATGGCATCAGTGTAAGTCGAGGGTAACGTTTTGTGGCCGAAACGCCAACCGCATTTCAACGGTCGTGTCACGCACCGGTGCAGGTTGGACAGGGGCTGCGGCGGGAACAGCTTTGGAGACGGACGCAGGTGCTGGCTTGGACTTTGCAGATGCAGGCTTGGTGGTAGGCTTAGCATCTTCCGTTTCTGCAAGCACCATTGTTTGAAGAAGAAGTTAGCAAAAGAAAGAAAGAAAAAGCACATCAGAGAGAGAAAGCGCGACTCCCCCCCTCATGCTAAACTCTATAGGTTTTGTTGGGTGTGAACGGAGCATTGAGAAGAAGAAGAAGAAAAAAAAGACATGAAAGCAAGAAAAGAGGGGGGAAAACGTTTATTCCAAGCAGCAAATTCGTGACAAACAGCAGCTGTTCATCAACGCTGCTGTTGGAATTCACAAAAGAGAGAAAAATCAAAATCAAAGAGGGTGTAGCCCTCCAAATTACAAGGGAAAAAGAGAGAAGAAGGCGTTCGCATACAACAATAAAGAAATCAACGACAAAAAAAAAAAACACTCGATAGCAATGACACAATTTCATTAAAAAGGGGAGAAGGGCGGCAGAGCGCGAAGACGCCCGGAGGACGGGAAGTGGTGTTTGGTGGGAAGAAGTGGTGGGTTGCGGGGAGGATGAGATATTCCAACAAGAAAAGTCAAAGAGCAACGACACCCGAAAAAGGTAATGCAAGTGTCAGGGCAGTGCAAAATCCATGAAAGGACCTCCAGCAGAGTGCACCCACACACAGGATTGACTCTTTTGGGTTTGTGCTGCATGATTTTGGTTTTTTTTTCGTCCAAAAAAAAAAGGTTTCTTTTTTTCATATCCATCCTCCCATTGCCCACCAACTCGTAAACCACACACACACAATCATTCTGAGAGAGCAAAGAGAGCAAGAGGACAATGCACGTCAGTGCTGGATGCATCCAACAACAAAGAAAGGGAGAAATGAAGAGAGGGGGAGAGAGAGCGCGCGGGGGGTTCAACTCGAATCATTACCAGAATCAGAGCTCGAATCAGAGCTCGAGGACGAGCTGCTGTCGCTGTCAGAGTCGCTATCGCTATCACTAGCTTTCTTCGCGTTACCTGCACCAGCAAAAACCCAAAACAAAAACACATCAGAAACGCGTCAAATCGACCCAAATTCCCCCGACCTCAATTCCAGAAAGAAAGAAAAACGCGCCCTTACCCTTCTTGGCCTGTGGCTTCTTGATAGCATCCTTGCGCTGCTTGGCCGGAGGCTTTTTGGCAGACGCAGCCACGGCAGGTTGGAAGACGCTCTTGACAAACTTCTCGAGTGCGCGCAGCGTACCCGGGTCCATCGCGTCAATGTCCACCTCCATTTCGTCGGGGTCGTTCTACGGTTGTGGAGAGAAACAGACCCAAAAAAAAAACAGAGTGTGAGCAACACAGAATCGCAACGACAAGAAACACAACCACACCAACAACAATAGCGAAAGAAAAAAACTCACAGCTTGGAGCTCGGGCGTGCGCGACTGAATGATGTGAATGACTTCGCCAATCTTCTCGGCGGGGAGACGCGCAATGTCTTTCGAGAGTTGTTGCTTCTCAAAGTACGTCATGGGCACGGCCACTGGCTCGGGAGCGGGGATGGCAATGCCGCCGCTCTGTTGCTTGCTCTTGGCGCTCGAAGGAGTGGCCTTGGCCTTGGTGGCTGAGGCGGCCTTTGGTGTGGATTTGGGCGCCGCTGCCGGTGGCAACGAGGTTGCGGGCGTGACTGGCGGAGGGGCGACTGGTTGGTAAGCGTTCAGGCCCGTCACGGCGCCCGGAGTGGACGGCAGACCACCATACATGCCGGGCATGGTGGACATGTTTGGCATGGTTGACAGGTTGGGCATGGTGGACAGGTTGGACATGTTCGACATGTTTGGCATGGTCGACAAGCTGGGCATGTTTGGCATGCCGAGCATGTTGAAGGCAGGCTGCATGTATGGCAAGCCCATGCCAGTGCTGAGCGGTTGCGGGGTGACCGGGTTGGACGCAGCAGCATTCTTCTTTTTGGAAGCAGGGGTGGGGTTGGCGACGGGGAGCGGCGGTTGTTGCAAGAGCTGCTGTGACTGCGCTGGCAACATTGGTGGGAAGGGCTGGCCAAAGTTGTTTCCGCCGACGGCCGAAGGTGTTGTTTGCGATGTTTGTTGTTGTTGCTGCAGCAGTTCGTACTGCTTCAGCTGAACCTGCAACTCGAGAATCTTTTGTTGCATCTCCAGTTGCTTGAGCTGGACGGAAGAATCGAGTGCTGCAGCAGAGGCAGCTGCGGCGGTGGTCGGAGCCGCGCTCGAAGGGAGGGCCGACACGCCGCTGCTTGCGGGAATGTGCGGGAGGTAGGGGCTGGGCGACGCACCACCGTGAGAAATCGTCGAGCCGCCAGTGATGGCAGTGTTGGTGGATGGGCGCTTTTGCTTTTTGGGCTTCTCGACAACAGGCGCGGGCATGGCCATGGCCGAGGGGAGGGGCGCTGCGGGTTGAGACGCAAAGCCCGAATCGTTCGGGAAGAGGTCAGTGTCAAAGTCGCCGTGGAAGTCCGCATTGTACGCGGCTGGCGCTGGCTCGTGTTTGCGCACAGTGCCGCCAAGCCCGGATCGCGCGAGAGTGGCAGCTGGCGGAGCATGCGTCAGGACGGGTTGGTGCGGGGCGGGATGGTACGACGCGTGCGCGGCGTGTGCGGCCTTTGGCGGCGCCTTCTTCTTTGCAGAAGATGCCTTTTTGGTGGCAACAAAGTCCGCGTGGCTGGGCGAGTCGGGGGACAGGGGTTGCGAGACCATCGGGTCGTCCGACTGTTGGGGCAGGCTGAGGAAGCGCGTTTCAAAGATTGCCGACAGTTTCCTGGCCATGTCCGCCACAAAGTGGTCTGGAGGGTTGTACAGCAAGCAGTTGGAGAAGACGAGCCGCACATCGTCGGCAAAGTCGAGGGCGTTGGTATAGTACTTTTGTCGGAATCGTCGCTGAATGGTGCCAAAGTCCATCGGATTTTTAATAATTTCGTGGTAGTTCAAGGCGTGGTGCTTGATGGGGTCGACGGGTTCCATGAAGGGGTTTGCAAGCCCTTGGTTGGAGCCAGAGGTGATGAACTTGAGGGTATCGCCGCAAAACTTGAGCTGCTTGGTTGTCAGGGCGCTGACAGCACGCTCTTGCTTGGACATGCGACGCTGACCACCAAACGCATTGGGGTCGAACGGTGCAGAAATGGACGTTGCTGGCGCGCGCGGCTTGCTGTTCTTCTCGGGAAGGATGATGCGGACGTCAGGGGTTTTCTTTTCCTCCAACACTTTTTCGTAGTGTGCCTTGACTTGCTCGCCGGCAACCGTGACGTTGTCGCCGGGCGCGTTGTACTTGAAGCAGTTGGAAAAGACCAGCTCAATGTCCTTCCGGCATGCCTCGGCGTCGGGATAGTAGCCAGAGTTGATGCGTGCGCGGATGGTGCTAAAGTCCATTGGCGTCTCAATCACCTCCCTGTAGTGAGGCAGCTTGTTCAGGTCCACTGGCTTGTGAAACCACTTGGCAGTGTCCTTTTTGAAAAGGGCAGGCAACAGACGCTTCAGGTACCATTGCAGGTGGTCGGTCGTTCGTCGGGACGCAGGAATGCCGCTACCGTCCTCCGACGACGATGCGGCCGCAGACGCGTCAGCAGTGTGAGCAGCATCAGAGCCGTCAGCATGGGGGGCGCCGTCGTCGTGCTGTGCCTCGTCTGCTGCGTCCTCCGTCTCGTCAACGCCGAGCCCGCCTTCAGCCTCCGCGTCCGTGAATGTGTAGTGGTCGTCAAACTCGTCGTTGTAGTATTGATCGTCCGCGCTAGTGTGTTGCTCTGCTGCTGGCGCTGTGGAAGCGTCAGCCGACTCTGCAGGCGCAGCAGACTGCTCGCCGTCCAGACGTGCCCGCTTGGCTTGGTGAGCGTCGTCGCCTGCTGCCGCGTTGTTGTTGTTGTTGTTGTCGACAGCAGCGGCAGCCGCCGCATCAATCAAGTCAAACTCGGTCGAGGCGTCCTCGCCGTGCGCAGGCTCCGCGTCCTCGTTCGACATTTCGTCAAAGGATCGCTTTGGCCGCGCGTTGGCAGAGTCGTCGCTGCTGCTGGCAGCAGTATCCGCTGCCTCGTCTGTCGGTTTCGAATCCTGCGTGTCCATCTGTTGGGGTTGTGTCTCGTCGCCAGTGTGGTGTGTATCGTCGGTCGAAGTGTATTCCGCGGTCGCGGCGTCCAACATGTCCATCGGCGCGGCTTGCTCTTCTGCGGGCTCAGCGGGCGCTTCTGTGTGTTCGGCAGGGGCGGCGGCGGCGGCGTCGTCGTCGGAAGGGTTGGCCAGAGCAACGTCGGTTGTGTCGGTTGCCTCGTTAGCAGCAGCAGCAGCCTCGGCGGCGTCGGCGGCGTGCTCGGCAACGTCAGCGGCAGCCTCGGCGACCTCAGCAGCAGCCTCCGCAACAACAGACTCTGTAGCGACAGCTGCCTCTTCAGCGACTGCGTCGGCGGTTGAAGGCGCATCCTCGAGCGCAGCCAGTGCAGACTCGGCGTGCTCAGCAGCAGCGTCGGCGCCGTCGACGCCGTCGAGTTGAGCCAGTGGTGTCGTGTCTTCAGATTGCTCGATTTCGGCAGCTTCCATGGGTTCTGCGGCAGGCAGTTGCGACACGAGTTGGTGTGTGTCAACAACAGCTGCAGCAGCGTCCTCAACGAGGTCCATGGTTGCTCTGATGGAAAAAAAAAAAAAAAAAAATACAGCAAAATAAAAAAAATCAGAGGGACGATTCTGCCATACAAAAAGCCAAAAAGGCGCACCGCGATCAAACAGCAGCAAGTTGGAGCGATGGGGGTTGTAGGGGGGTGTGAACGAACGCCAACCTCGGTGATGGTGTGTGACTGCGACGATCGATCGACCAACACGAAAGGGCAGCTTTGGGGGAGAAGGGAAAAAGAGGAGTCGTCCAACTCGGATTTTCGCGCCAAAATGTTCAAAAAAATTAAATAAAAAATTAAAAAAAAATGGAAGGAAAAAAAAAAAGAAAAAAAAAAAGGACTGCAGAAGCAAATGGAAGGCCAAAGAAAGAAAAATGGGAAAAAAGTCAATGCGTTTCCATTGGAAAAAAATAAAAAATAAAAAGAAAATAAAAAAAAAAAGAAAAAGCCTCGTGTCAACGCCACCACAGTGCGGAAGTCGAGGAACGCAACTGGGGCAGTCCGGGCGCGTCGGCGCTCACACCCGCACAATCAGCACACGAAAAGACGCTTGCCAGTGCATCGCGCATCTCCCCAGGTGCCAGACGAAGCTGGAGACGAAGCCGCAAACAGTCGAACAAGAAAAAAAAAAAAAAAAAAAAAACGACGATCTCTTGAACTTATTTAAGTGAAAAAAAAAATGAACGGCGGCGACGGTATTGTCAAAACAATCCATCCGGCGTCGATGCGGCCGTCACAGGCGTGTTGCGCAGACGCGATTTGGTGCAGCCGGCGTGGGCGCAGCGCCTCCAGTTGCCCCGCTCAAACACAGCAACGCCGCAACGCCCAGACGACGACCATGCGACGTTGGCTTTTTTTTTTTATTTCCTTCGTTTTTCTATTATTTCGATTATTTCGTGTTGGAACAATTTGGCTGGAAATGCATTGGAAAGCAAAAAAAAAAAAAAAAAAAAAAAAAAAAAAAAAAAGCGCGCCAAAATTTCTGGTTGAAAAGTTTTTCAAACGCACTTGTTTGTGAAAGTCGAGAATGAGCTTTGGCCGAGAGCAGGTCGTGCGCCGCTGACCCAATGCGAGGGCTGCAAGTCGACCGATCGCGCAAGGAGGGTGATGCCGGGCAATGGCTGTGTGGGTTGGGGAAAAAATGTGCAGCAACAGCCAACGCAGCAAGAACGAAAGAACAAACGAAATCAGATTTTGTTGGTCGGTCGCTCGCAGACGCTCAGCTGTTGCAGAGCCCGGTTTCTCAGCACAAACGAAAAACAAAACGAAAATCAACAAGATTTCGAATTTGAATTCGCAATGCTTTTTCGCAAGTTTTGAACAAAAGACACTCGTTTTTTGTTGCTTTTGAAAATAACAGTGGGAAAAAAACAACATGGCAAAGAAAAACAAAGGGCAGCAACAACAACAACAACAAGGGAACGCTCGGACGCAAGGGCACAGCAACGGCAGCGTCGATGATGCAGCCACAGAAGGTAGGAGCACAACGGAGCGACAGGAGGCGGAGGAGGGTCGCGTTCGGGGTGGCCGATGCGATGCGGGTGTAGCGAACATGTCGAGCTGTGGGATGTTTATTCGCGCTTTCACATGCAGCGAGATGATCGATACATGCACTCGGAACACTGCTGTTGAGGCGTTTTTGGTTGTATATGCAAAAACGCTTTTTGGTTTGTTTCAGCTGACCGGTTTGTTGCGCTGTATGTATGGCTGAAGATTGGAAGGCAGACTCGAAAGCGAGCGATTCGCTTCTCGCACTCACTCCAGGCACCGCCAGTGAGACTGGAGTGGAACGGCGAACACGGCCGCGTGCTACAAAGCTGCATATCGACTTTCTCAAGACGGCCATAGAGGACACGCAGGAGACGATTCGATTCCTCGACACCAAAGCAGGTATGCTGCTGAGCCATCCACAGTCTCGTGGTTTTTTTTGCAGCGAACGTGGACATGTTGATGTCTTGAATCATGGTGGTACTGTACTCATTTGATGGCACCCGGGCTGGTGGTTGTGGCAGGCATGATTGTCGCCTTTGAATCAGTGTTATTGAGGTGATTGTCAAGCACTTTGTCTGCACTGTGTTTTGTCCCTTCCCCTCGCTCACCTGCCATTTTGCTCATGACGACTGTGATGTGCAGTGGCGCTCTGTTCGAGGCAGGCGGTATGGAAGTACTACAGGCATTGTTGAATCGAGGCTACAGTGGATTTATTGGTGCAATGCTCTTCGGCTTGCTCCTCTTTTCCGCCATGGCAAGTTACTACAAGTTTGTTTTTTGTTGTTTTTTTTTTCTCGCTGACCAGCGCAAAGACGCTTACTCGCTTTTTTCACACATACAAACGGGGAACACGGGACTGACATTGTGCTGATTGTCTCTTCTTTTTTTTTCTTTCTTTCTTTTTTTTTTTTTTCTGCCTGCTGGTTTGCAGATTGTCTACCACGTCCAGCTCACGTTGAGAGCCATCTTCCCAGCCGAAAACCCCTCCAAGCATGTAGACAACGGGGGGCTTGAGCCACCCAACACGTTTCTGCTGTGGAGGATGGACAAGAACGGCATGATGCAGCCTTCGCTGCCAACGTATCTGGCCCAAGTTACGGCCATGGACGAGGACGACGTTGCGACCGAGCTGTCGTCGCAACTACTCAAGCTGAGCTACATTCGAAAGCGCAAGCAAGACATTCTCTCGAAATCGTTCTTGTGGCTCTTTGGTCTGGTGATTGCCTTCATCGCAGTGCAGCTGTTGCATCTTGTGGCGAGCTTGTATGATCAGGACGGCTGAGCGCAGCAAGCGCAGCACACATTCAATAAAAAATGGATGTTGAGAAGGGATTCGTTGTTTCGTTGCTTCAAGAAAAAATAAAAGTTTCAGGAAAAAGAAAAAAGCACAGAATAAAGAAAAGGAGGAGGATCAGATGGATTGGAGACGCCATTGCGTAACGTTTTGGGGCGATCGCCTTGCTCTCGTTGGCATCACACAAGGACCAGCCGGTGAAGGCCGGGGGGCATGCATGCGCCGAGATCATTTCCACTCATCACAGATTTGAACTTAGTAGTTCATTACCTGCCGAGCCATCCTTTTCTTTGGCGTCGCCATCCGTCCAGGCCAGAGGACGCGATGCAACGCGTGGCGCGAATCGTGCATGCTGATGCATGCCGACACAGGAGACTGCAAAGGGAGCGGGATTGGGTTTGAGTGGTGGGTAGCGCCATGTGCTGTCCCACACGTTTTCACCAATTTCCCCGCGCGGTGTTTTGGGATGCGATTATCGTCCGAAATGAGGTGTTGTTGCGGCGATTATTTGGATGGAAATATTCGTGGATATGGTGGGTTGCTATTATGTGTGCGAAAGACTGGTGCTGTGCAAGGGACAGGTAGAAGGAGGATTGCGGCAAGCCGTTGTGCAAAGCCCTCAACGCCGATCGAGCGAGCGACCCAACCCAAGCCCTCGCGCAGATCGCCCCACATCCCACACGATTGTAAATATAAATTGCTAGTTATCTTCAGGTGTTGCCAGGCTGCTGACCCCCTGCGCTGCGGTCGTTTTCACATTTATATTCCGAGGTTTGGTTTCAGGGCCCGCTGCAATAGAGCAAAGCCGTATTTTGAGTTCATACTTTGGATTAGTAATATTCACATGAATTTGCATCATTGGCGTAAAAATGGTGTTGCTTGCTCGAAGGTTGCCGCTGAGGAGATGGCTTAAGTCGGTAGCGCTTATGTCAACTGAAAAAAATCGTTTACATCCACTTTTTAAACCAAAGATTACGCAGGCCTCCTATCGCATCGCCCTCAACAATATAGAATCTACTCATTTGTGTTGATTTTTCTATGCTATCACAGGCTCCAAAAATCGGCTTGCGAGCGACGCCACGAGCAGACTTTGCTGTCGCGACCGTATCGTAATCGCCGCTTCTGCTCTGTCGCACGTCGCCACCACCTTGTTGGGAAATATTAGATAACAAAATGAGTCGCACTGGGATGAAGTCGCGAAATATTTGTTTCGATTTGAGGGGCAGTCTTCTTGTTTGTTTAGCTGTGTTTGATTTCAAAGCGCTTCCAAAATGCTGTCCTATCAGAATATGACAGAGAGACAGCGCGAGTTGTCTGATCTAGTCAGGAATGGGAGTAGACAGCTCGAGTAAGAAGAAAGCCAGGTTGATTTGGAACACAGTTGTTGACAGCGCGTGTGTGCTGACAAAGATGGAGGGGAACAGTCTGGCTGAGAGGCAGATTGGCGATGAAGAAGCGAAGGCGATCGCTGAAGCACTCAAAGTGAACAAAGCGGTGAAGCGGCTCCTGTAAGGCATCTCACTTTGACTGCATGCATGTGAGTGGGTGATTCAGAAGAGTACATTCCGAGTGCTCACTGAAGGGGATGGTCAGTCTGTGGGAGAATCGGATTGGCGATGCTGGAGCGCAGGCGATTGCTGAGGCACTCAAAGTGAACACGACGATGACTCACCTCTAGTAAGGCGTCTCATTTTTATTGATGATATGAGTGGTGATTTCAGCAGATGGCATTGAGAGCTCACTGATGGAGGAGGGGATGGACAGTCTGCAACGGAATCAGATTGGCAATGCTGGAGCGCAGGCAATTGCTGAGGCGCTCAAAGTGAACACGACCCTGTCTGAGTTCGAGTAAGCCATCTCACTTTGACTGATGCATGTGAGGAAGTGATCCCGCAGAGAGTATTCAGAGTGCTCACTGAAGGGGATGGACAGTCTGTGGGGGAATCAGATTGGCGATGTTGGAGCACAAGCGATTGCTGAAGCACTCAAAGTGAACACGAAGCTGATCGAGCTCAGGTAAGGCATTTCACATTGACTGACGCATGCGAGTGGGCGATCGAGTAGGGGGCATTCAGAGTGCTCACTGAAGGGGATGAACAGTCTGAGTCAGAATCAGATTGGCGATGCTGGAGCGCAGACCATTGCCGAGGCACTCAAGGTGAACAAGACGCTGACTACGCTCTCGTAAGTCATCTCACTTTGACTGATGCATGAGAGTGGGCGATTCAGAAGAGTGCTCACTGATGGAGGGATGGACAGTCTGCACAAAAATCAGATTGGCGATGAGGGAGCGCGCGCGATTGCTGAAGCACTTCAAGACAACAAAATTCTGAGCTCCCTCTAGTATGTACTTTTGGTTTGTTGACGCCAGTATTATCATGTGTTTACAAGGAGAGTTCGTAGTTTGAACGAGAATCAGATCGGGTATTACGTGGAAATAGCTTTGCGTCGGAGTGCTCCATCGTGCGAAATGTAAGAGCTTTATTTTAGTTAAATCTTCTGGTACCGGCTGGGTGACTGTATTTCTGACTTTGGACTGGACGATTTCGTCACGTCCAGAACCATGCGCGACCAACGCAGACACGATTCTGTTCGCTGCCGAGAAGTTCGTGTGGTGTTACTTGGCGATCCCGCTGTTGGGAAGTCATCACTTGTTCACGGCATTGCTCAGCATGAGCGCAATGCAGTGGTCAGGTTTTTCGCGGGCAGCAACACGATCAAGACTACCTCTACCGATGGAATTGACATTTCCTCTGTCATTCTTCGCGATAAAGAGCCCATGATTCTGAACATTTGGGACTTTGCTGGTCAAGAGCTGTACCTCGCTTCGCATCAGTTCTTCCTCGGCGAACGTACCGTCTACTTGGCCCTGTTTGACGTTCGCGAAACCATTTCGCGCAATTCGCGCCTGGCGTTCTGGCTACGCAGCTTGCTTGCTCGAGTTCCGAACGTCGATGTCATTCTTGTCGGCACCCACATTGACGGCGAATCATACACGCCGCAGCGACAACAAGAGCAGCAAGAGAATCTAGAAGAACTGCTGCACGTTTTCAAGAAAACGCACACCTCTTTCAACATTCTCTCGACTGTTTACCTCAACGCGAGCACAGCCGCAAGCGCCTCGACCATGCCGGAGCTCAAAGCGGCAGTGCTCCAGGCAGGTCGAAAGATGCCATTTTACAATTTGGAGATCGACGGCCGCTACCCGCAGTTCCGTGATCTGCTGCGTGATCTCGCGAATACAATGGAGGCCGAGAAGAAGTCGCCGCTCCTGCGATGGAATGAAGTTGTCGTGCTTGGCGGGAAACATTGCGGGCTTTCTCGTAGAGGAGTGGAAGAGTTCATGCAACTTTTGCGTTATCAAGGATGGATCGTTCTTCATCGCATGGGTCACGCCGCTGGCGCCGCCTCTGCGACCAGTCCTGTAGTGCAGACGGCCGCCGAGAATGATGAACTCGTCATTATCAATCCACAGTGGTTTACGAAAACCGTGTTGACTGGTGTGATCACTCAGAGGCACAAGTGGGTCAAGAAGGGCATTCTGGCTCGTGCTGATCTGCTTGCACACGTTTGGAGGAACTTGGACCCCGCTGTGTGTGATCAGCTCCTCGTTCTACTTCAACGATACGAACTCCTGTATCCGCTCGCTGACGCTGAAACAACCGAAGCCCGCTACCTTGTGCCTTCTTTTCTGCCTGTTGGACAGCCCGAGAGCAGTGCATGGTCCGCCAATCCTCACAAGGACGAGCCACATGAGGCCACTCTGGTGATGCGGACAGCCTTCATGCCCGCTGGTTTCTTCTCGCGAGTTATTGCCCGGCTGCACCACCTCGAGTTCAACATGACCCCCTGGCGAGATTGTGTGCTCGTCAGCAGAAACCAGCATCGAGCTCTAATTCAGGTCCATCGTCGCACGGAAGAGGATGTGATTGATCTAGTGATTGTCGTGCGCGGCGCTTCTCCAGGCAATCTCCTCGATGTGCTTGCTGGCGTTGTCGACGATTTGACTGCGAACTGGTACACGGGTATTACTTGGCAAACCTACCTGCGGTGCACAAAGTGTGCAATGGATGTGGCAGATCCATGTCTGTTTGAGATTCATTCTGTGGTGCTTGCAGCCGTCCTTCCAAACAAGGAGTTGAGTTGTGATCATTCGCAACGGACGCTGGTTCGCGATGAATGGCTCTCCTTCATTCAGCCAGTATTACAACGCAGTTTATCACGCATCGAGGAGCCATCTGAGCTGCAGCGACAGGCTCTGAACATATTCAAGGCCTCTCGATGTCCCGCAGATGCGCCGATCGCACAGCCTGATTCCTCATCGTCCTCAGCCATCCAAGTTCCAGCAATCGCGACCACTATTCCTCGAGTTGGCATGCAAGAGGTTTCGCAAGCCACTGGCAACTTCGCGCCTTCCCGGCGCATTGGGGGCGGCGGCTTTGGTAGTGTGTACTCTGGCATCTGGGGTGGTGCACAAGTTGCTGTCAAACGTTTGGCGGCCGATTCTATGCAAGGCATCGCTCAATTTCAGGCCGAACTCGAATCCCTCTCGCGCTTTCGCCACCCGAATATTGTCACTATCATGTGCTATGCTCACGAAGGCGGCGAATGCTGCTTGGTGTACGAACTGATGGCAAACGGTTCGGTGCGCGATCGTCTGGACTGCAACAATGGCACGCCTGCTCTGAGTTGGCCACAACGCCAGAGAATCGCAACCGAGATTGCGAGCGCTCTGCACTTTGTGCAGACTGCCATTCCGCGTCAGCCGCTGTTCCACTTGGATCTCAAGACGGACAATGTTTTGCTGGACGCTCACTTTACTGCAAAGGTCGCCGACTTTGGTCTGACACGCTCTGCACCAGCTCAGACGGCCACACAAAGCTACATCCAGACGCAGACGATTCAAGGAACTCCCCAATACATTTGCCCTCAGTACCGTGATGAAGGCAAGGTCTCCATCAAAACGGACGTGTACTCCTACGGCATGATTCTGCTCGAGCTGCTGACTGGGCAGCAGCCTGGTAGCGTGCTTACAAGCGCAGTGAAGACTGCTCTTTCAACGCACGGTCAATTCGATTCCGAGTTGGATGCGTCGATCACATGGAGCGCTGCAGACAAACTCGCTGCCACTGAAGTCGCGAAGCTTGCGCTTGCTTGCCTGAAGCCTGATCGACACGACCGACCAACCTTTGGCCAAATCCCTGCTCAGCTGAAGGGTGATCCGGATCAGGTTGAGGCGACGGAAGAGAGCCCACACGGCGATCGTGAATGCATGCTATGTTACAACGCTCCGACTACAGCCAAGCTGATGCCTTGCTGCCACGCATGTGTTTGCGTGGCGTGCGCTCAAGAAATGATTCGACGTCAGGACAAGTGCATGGTTTGTCGTGTAGTCCCGACTTCGTACCTGAAGGGTTCTTTCGACCAGACGTTTGTTCAGGTCAGCGATCGCGAATGTATGCTGTGTTACAACGCTCCGACTACAGCCAAGCTGATGCCTTGCTGCCACGCATGTGTTTGCGTGGCGTGCGCTCAAGAAATGATTCGACGTCAAGATAAGTGCATGATTTGTCGTGTCATCCCGACTGCGTATCTCCCGGGTACTTTCAACCAGACGTTTGTTCTGTGAACGTAGTTGGTTGGTGTTTGGTTTTCTGTGTTGACTGTGACTTTCTGTCTTCTATTAATGTATTCATACGAGCGTTCAATCTCTGCGACAAGTTGAATTGGTTCCGGAAGTTTTGACCGGATTTCTTGGATAGTCAAGCAACGCAAAGCTCGCGACTCTGTCACCAGCTTTCACTAATGAGTGCACATTCCTGGAAGACAAACACACAGCAAACAAACAACACAAACACACAGCAAATCGGCACAGCAAGCCAATTTCGCTGTCTTTGTCGCTGCATCACTGATTAGCTGTGCTGTGCGCTTGGGGCCCGATTTTCATTCCACCCTGACGCAAATTAGAGCCAAGCATTGTTCGCAGTATAGACGGATGATGACGGGACTCGCTGGTGTCCTGACATCATCACCATTTCCAGGTTTGTTTTTTCCTTCTTGTTTGAGTTTTCACTCTTCATTTTTATTGTAAGAACTCGTTCCTATTTTTTATTTTTTTATTTATTTTATTTTATTTTCCAATACTTCCACGTTTTTTTTTTTTTTTTCAATCTCTCGTTTTTCTTTTTTTCTCTTTTTCGCTTTTCAACGTTTCTTCGGTTCGGATGCCATGCCAATTCATCACCCTTCTTCTCATTCTCTCAATCTCTCAATCTCTGTCTTTCCTTCTCTTCCCCTTTCTCCGCTTTCGCCTCCCCCTTTGAGCTGACCATGCGTTTGTATTCGACCATGTGGTTTTGAAATCGCGATCTCTTTTTTTTTTTTTTTCCCTTCTTCTTCGTCTTCATCTTTCTTCTTCTTCTTCTTCTTCTTCTTCAATGCTTCGTCCTTCGTCCATGTGTGTGCCTTTTTTGAACTGCGCTTTCTTGCATCGCCATCACATTGTCTTCTTCGTTGAAAGAAGTGCGGTTTCTAATGCTTCTCTCTCTCTGTTTTCCATTGTTCTTTCCTTTCCTTTCCTTTCCTTGCCTTTCCTTGTCCTTTGCTGTGCTGTTCATCTTGACTCACATTGTGCTTCTCTGTCTCTCTGTTGTTGCTTTGTTCATCTGGCTCCTGCCTGAAGGTCTTTCTTGCCATGAGTGTACGTCATTCCACCAGCTCTCTCTCTCTCTCTCCCCTAT